TAAGCCGTCTGAGCTTAATTTCTGTAAACAGTTCGGAGCAAATACCAACAACCTACCGTTTGGATGCTTTACTCCGAGTATCCTTTGCCACATGTTTTTGCATGCGGTAGCTAGGTTGAGAACCAACGGGTGGCCATCATTCTGCGGTAGCGATTAAGATTTTATGGTTTATTCGCTTTGATTCGTTCCAACAACGTTACCTCGTCCTCGGTTTCTTCGGAGAAAGGACAGACGTCAGGTGGCCCAAAAAAGCCACGCTAACCCGTTGAATCGGTTGCATCGCTGGACCTTCAAACCGGCGGACCTGAAAATTACCAGTTCGTTCTCTTGTGTGTTGTCTCACAAGTACATGATCCAAATGTATGTGGATGTTCCCGATCTAGCGTCAAATTGGACCTGGCATGCGCTAACTGTAGCTGCTCGTGTAGTCTATCTGTGTAGAGATCGGTTTCTCGTTCGCAGAATGCAAGATGAATCGGTATGAGCGCTTGCGTTGGCATATGGTGCTGTCGAAATATGAGTTGTAGTCTCCACACTCATCGATCACCGTTGGCAGTACTACTGGCGTCAGTCCCGATGGGTATTTGTCCCATTTTTAGTGACAACAACATCCATATTTTTAGTTGTACATTTATGGGAGAGTTTCTTACATGCTTTGTCATCTTCCGAGCTGCTATCTGTCAACTGTGTTGGGGCCCCCGAAGTTGAACTACACGCAGATGGTTGTTTACTGGGATCTATTGGAATCGATTGTTATCGTGTCGTGGTGAGTGCACCACCTGCAGCGTCGTTTCTTTTAGTCACCGGACACTCAAAGTCTGTGGTTATAGTCGCTGGAACCTGAACCAGGCAGTCAGGGATTGTTTGAGATTCTACAGTTTCCTGTAGATGTTTCAGAGGCTCAGCACATATCTGTTTCAAGAGTTTCCCTGCTTAGATTCAGTGTTACCTTTTGATTCATGTGACTTGGAGTGCAAATTTTGGAAAAGCCAATTTGTCATACCATCGTCGATCTGGGCCTGTGTTCAGGTACATTGCCTGAACGGTTTACGTGGAAAGCAGAGGCTCACACGGGAAAAGCCATTGAATCCACAAAGAAGATGAAAATGTCGATGACGTTATATAAGCTGATATTACTCTCCTGCTGTTCATTCAGCGTTATTATCATTATCAATCCGTAACTTAGTCTGTAGGTGAAAACCACTTCACCCATTACGCCAAAATGCAGGTCGTAACACGAAAAGCAAGATAGGACAGAAAATAAAATATTCTACCGTATTTTTATTATGCATCAAAATGAATTCATGCTAAGGAAGAGGGAGACTAGAGGAGAGAAGGAGGGACAATGGGGCACACAACACTAACGCAACCAAAGCCATGTCGATAGGCATTTCCGACCGAACGTGTTCATTGTTTTTCGGACTCCATCCACAAAGCCGAGGCGTTCCAACTGGGGCCGAATTCGAAGTGAGAATCTCCATCAAGTCATCGGTTAGCCTCTCTTCCCGCTCTCCTTGGGTTCGCAAAATACCCCCGTCACGGGAATTGGTTTGCTGGCAGACGATACACATGTCCCAGCTATCAGAGTCTGATGCGTGAGATAACGGAGCTAAACTGTTCTGTTAATCTTCCTGCTCTATACACAAACCGCCGAAAGCCCTTATTGTTCACGCGGTGTCCCAACCAAATGAGTTCGACTGAGAAGGTATCGGGGGTCGACCGAAGTTATCTTCATGGCTGTCGGTCTGATTATCCATGTTTCACAGCGATACAGGACCAAGCGTATGGAAGTATTTTAATCCTTATTCTTCAGTAAGTTGGATTGTCCGGTGGGTGCTCTACGTCTATCCTCTTCCAGCAAATAATTTGGCAGCATTGCTTCAGGACTTTCTCTACCGTGACTTCCGAGACCGCGTAACTGTCTACGGAAAGCTGTCTTCTGTCACGTTTAATATCTCCTCTCCTCTTGAACTTTGTGATCGAACTGATCATAAATAACCATGTTCTTTCAGATGTTTTCGGATTGAATGTTCTACCAAGTGATCTACTGACAAACTTTGGGTATGCGGACCACATAGCTCTTCTTGGGTCTGACCAGGTGGCTTTGCAAACCCTACTGTTGCGCTGCACGCTTCGGCATGTACTTTACACCTTCAAGGTGCAAAATATTGTTTCAGGACTGGATCGATACGCCACCGGTTTTATGTATCAATGAACAGCCACTAGAATAGTGGGTCGGTTCACTTAACTTCATAGCTGTGTTACTTCTGGTAATCACATCTTTGGCGTATCAGCAAGCCTCACGTGATATTTCCGTGGCTCAACTGTCTGTGGAGACGGCGGGATTGCCACCTATCATTGGAAGGTATGGTCGATGTTGCTATTTATAAGATACCTGACTAGTTCTCAGAGAAGACAATAAATGCTTGGCCTTGTTCCATCCCCTGGGCTTACAGAGTATTATTCACATCTAGTGGGAACACCGGGTGAGTATCATGCTGAAGTCCGCCAGTTTGCTTTTGGCAAGAAGCCTTCAGGTGCCTCATTCGATCTAATTCACTTAGGTTGTTAACTCAAGTCCTCTGTATGCCCGTTGACCCACCTCTTCTGTGTGCAGTATAAACTGTGGCTGCACCAAGTTCGGCGGAACCGCTGGGTGACCAGTGGATGACGTAGCATGAACGCATGGGGAAACTGACTGAGTGACTTCGTCAAGCGGGTGTATGAGGGGGCTCCGGGATGGCCCACAACTGCGATTGCACAGCGCGATTGGACGGCGCAGTCGCGCCGTCCGAGATGTTCCTGCATTCGATTTCTTGAAACCATATGCTACTTTTCCATCCCGATTAGTTTTACGCATTTCCGTCTTGATTCCATTTTTTACATTCTATTTACATTTAGCCTCATTTTTTGCCCCCATTATTTATTCTTATTCTGATGAGATGTGTCGGGGCAACTGAATCCACCGCACTGCTGTGCCGTTATCATATCTGTTGAACGGACTTGAGCGAAGCCCTTCAGGATGTGGTAGGCTTTTGCTTGACAAGCATTCCGCCTATAAAAATCCACTAATGTCTGTTCAACTTGCCGCAGAATGGCTGATATGACTTTCTACTGAAGTCAGGAACCCTTGCTTTAGCTCGGTTAAACATTGTAACTCAGAGGATTGATGCGTGGTGCTTTGAGCCCCTGTTTGGTATTTCAGCAAACCTAAGGCAATAGACTAGAATGACCGGTCACCTGCTCCTTATGTGCTCCATTCCTGACTTCGCTCGGCTGCGTCGTGGGTAGCCAGTTTACCCAAAAGCTCGCTTGCTGTCTTCTAAGTCGATTCCCTTCTCAGAATGAACTATGCATTGCTCTGTATCATGTTTGCCTTTTTTCCAAATTACTGTACCTATGGTATTCATGAATTTTGTTGGCTCCATGTCTGTTAGTAGACTGCTGAAAACATACCTTTTAAAGGTAACAGTGATGTCGCACCCGCGCCATAAGTTGTGATGTTGAGCAAAACCGCCTCGAGTTTTTACTATTCAAATCACGGCCTCAATTTAAATTCCACCGACGATGATATAATTGCCTAAATAGCTGAATTCCTGAACGACTTCTATCTGATCCCCACCAAGGCTCACTTCAGAGGTGGATCCATGTCAGTTTTTGACGAAGCCCTGCATTTGATAGGTACAAAAGGCAATCCGAAACGTTTGATAGCTATTTCCGAGTTTTCCAGCGCTGTTTTTGTTTGCAATCAGTCACAGATTAGAGTAATATCTTTGGCGTACTATAATTGCAGAAGTCGATCTCCTGAAATCAGCACTACACCCTCTAATCCGAATCCGGTGAACATAGTTTTTATGAGTTCCTCAAGTGATAAATGAAAGAGTAATGCTGACAGCATATATCCTCGTCCCACACTGCTGCAGATATTTTAAGATGGCAACGGTTTTCCCTAAATAATCATTCCCCTAGCTACGCATATATAACGCTCTGATGATGTTTCACTGACATTTCTCCATCACACAATATTAAAAGGTACACCGACCCACCGAATGCAAAGCCTTCTCCTAACGACTTGTTTTATGGGGCGTGGCCATCTTTGTCCTTTGGCTTGATAGTCTGACTCAAGCCAATTGGTGAGCAGTTTAGTGTCTGACCTGTGACCTCAATGTTTCCTGGAGATATGCTTGTGGTCGAATAATTGCATCATTGGGAGTATGTTTTTCGACTTTATCAGACGTAAATCTCTGAACCCTGTTATTTTTAAATGAGATTTGGTTAGCTTGCATCTTGCTGACTAGATGTTGACTGGATTGAGGCGACTTACTTTAAACCAGTGCGTAACGGCTGTGCTATCGCATTCCCAGATAAAACATTTGGCCTCTCTCTTCCACCTTATGAATGCTGTTCTTATACTCTGTGAACTGTTGCATCCTGTGCATAGTTGCTGTGATGCTGAAATCGCGGTAATCTGACGCATAACGTTAGCCTGTTATTTGAGTGTCTCTGGAGGCATTTGAAAAGCAACATCACAATAGCCTCTTAGGCCACAACTTGCACAAACCATTGCATTGCACTGGGCTCCAGTCTTGGTGTTGGACTTGGAATATCAATTCACTCGAGCCTTTGACGCAAGTCTCATCTCATTAGACGTCCATCAGAAAGCGTCTTCCATCGTGGCTCATTGGTGGATTAATCAACACCTCCACTGCAGTTGTTCTCTCTCCCATTTGAGTGCCATAGCTGTGTGTTTAATCATCTCTCACCGCACTCAAACGGCAATCTCGGCCATCTGTCATTAATCTTACAGTCCGCTGTATGGCGTAACATCAACTTCTTCTTTCGTCAGCTTTCTAATGATTTCCCGTCATCGCAGGCATCAGTACATGCGTCGATATACTCTATCTGACCTAGCGGTGAACTATGGAGAACTACTTCTTTTTGCTATTCATGCTGATCTGACTCCATACGCAACCTTTTCCTGCACAAATCTTTTCATTTAGCCCAACGTCCGCTGCCTAGTTGGCCTCTATGGCTCTCAACGAGATGATGGACTCGACGACGCATTCAGTGCTATTCTTGAGGATGATACGGCTGATGAACCGGACCTCCTCAGCTATGTTTTAAATGTGGACGACACTGATCGTGTCCGGTTTCTCATCGGTTCCCAATCTCTACGACCCAACGGCAGTCAGGTAAGTAAGCGTACTTTGGTGTCGAGTCAAATGGAAGTAAACTTTGTTCAACCGGAACACACCTTAATCACACGTTTATTTCTCATGATCCGATAAACTCTGTCTGTAGAGGCAAAGATCACCACGTGCAAGTGTAACCATACTCTTGCATGGGCGATACGCATCTGTGCAACCTTAGGACTTGAAATTCATATACGGTGAAACCACGCAATTTGACCCCCTCTTCTCTCCATCGCTTAAACGTCCATCTTGTAAACCTTATGGAATCGGACCTCTATGTTGACCACTTTGGTCTACTCCCTTGACTGATCAACACGGAGGTTTCACCATACCGGTGATTTACTGGATAGTTGAGGTGAAAGCCAAAATTTGGAAACGTGGGTGTTTAAATGTTTTTGGGCACCCTAGAATAAATAAGTAAATAAATCTTTTTACTTCAATGGTGCGAGTTTTTCCCACGTGAGTATGGTCATTATCATATACAGATCAAGGTAGCTTGCGGGTTTTTTGGCTGAATGTCGCCGCATTTACACACCAGCTGAGTGTGATTGGCACATATAGGTGTTTCTGACTAGGAAGAAATTGAAGGTTGTGCTTGTTCTATCCCTTCGTGTAATTAGTTCTTACGAAACTCTCTATTTGATCTGTGTTGCAGTTCGAGTGTGTAGTCACATCGGAATTGGGACTTTTTGTGTAGCAAGTATCAACACCTTATGGTTCATTCGTCGCATCCAAATTACCACGAATTCAGGACAGGACGCCTATCATTCCTCACCGCGAATGTGCCAAAAGCGAGGCACCAACTGAAAGTATAGGCATGTCACGTGCAATAAGGTGCTGGAACTTTCTCATGATGAAGTGCGAAAAAAGTGGACTCTAAATTCTACACACGTGGAAGAAACGACTATCGCTTTTGACCATTCTCTTTGGGATTACTGATGATAACATCATATCTTTCTTTGCTCCACGAAGCCTTCTGTGTGGACCACACACTCATGGTGTAGGCATTTCAAAGGTGGCCACGTAAAACTATGAAGAAACAGTGTACTCAAAGGGGCAATTACGTATGATCATAATTTGGGTAACTGTTTCACTTGGGACTGAGGAAATAACCTTATGACTTTACGAAATGTTTCGTAAGCTTGTACAATCCCGATCGATTTCGGAGAAACATGCAAGGATGCCTGACTATGGATTGATTTTGTCGCTCGCACCAATCGGTGGGAAGCTTTCAAAAGCCCCACAACTAGTCAGCACATGAAATCCACGGGCACAATCTTATCGTGTCCTCATTGCAGCATTTAAGACCTTCAAACGGACAACATTCGAAATGTTTAAATCCAACACGTGTTGGCGGCGCAGGGAGTTGTTCGAAGTATGACACACGTAAAAACAAGGAGGGTTGTTTTCCTTAGCACATCGTAATCAGCGTAGCATATAAAAACCTTCTACCTTTTATTTGGGTGTAGTGAGTGCGCCTTGCGCAATGGTTGTTGCATGCCCGGTTATCCCAGCTTCGTCAAGAAAAAGAACCCGGACCGGCTCTGCACACAAGCGTTCTATTCACAAGTCTGAGGTAATGTACAACTAGTTGGGATTTTAAAAGCTCACCAGCCCACTCGTTCGATCGCCTGATCGACCGCACTGAGGTAGGCGATTCCCTTCGCCCCAGCGTTCAGCCACCATCACAGTAGTCAACATTCAACAGGCATCAATTTGAAATGTGCGCCATTCTCAAACAGCAGGTTCCTCTGCATTGATCCAAAAATCCTTCTGAAGCAGCCTGCATAACCGAGGCCTCGAACCCATACTTCCGTGTATGTTTATCCACTGCGGCTGCTCTAGAACGAATTAGGTACGATGCTGCATCCAACGTGAATTGCTGATGCGCGTCGGCACGATTGTCTGAAAATCCGAGGCGCAGTTGGCCCATCGAAGCTTCACAGCAATATATACATTTGGATGCTGCTTTCATGATTCTTTTATGACGTTACTCTTGCTGGTGCCGATGATGATATTAGTGTTTGAATACAGGTTTATATTTCTTCATGTTTTCCCCGTGATGAACGGTATTCTGGTGCAATGGACAGTTATTACACAATGCGCTTAAGGTTGTTCCTTTCGAACGGATGTCTGGTTCTACGTTTGAAATTTACCACCCAACTGTTTGATTGTAAGCTAGCTTCCAGGTTTTCAAGCTTTATTGATGTGTTATTAAACACAAAATTCTATCACCACACACGAGGACCTTGTCGACCTTCTGAATGATATGAACGGAACCGCAAGTTTATCCTCGATCGAATACTGTTTCATCATCTGGTCCATTTCCTCAGTTACCGGTGTGCAACGATCGTAGTAACTAAAGTAGGGTCTTAGGGATTTGTGCCATTAGAATTCTTATTGGCTACTGCATCAAGACTCATGATCAAACGTCCGCAATCAAGAGATTGTCATTCGCATACATATTGTTCCATCACTCTCAACAGCGCTTCTTGACCGCTTTCTTCTCCGCTCAAGCACATTAGCTTTTGCACATGTCTTTGTGTTGTGAACGCCAAATTTATTACGGGACTACCGATACTGTGCATTTGTATGTTAAAGCTTAGGTCTACTTATCGTGGATGCGAATTGAAAATCCTTCTTTCGCAGCAACATGTATATTAGTCACATTTCCCGTCCGTATGCGGCAATGCCACTGTTGCTGCCCCCTTTCAGTGCCTTAGGAAACTATACAATTAAGTAGCCCGTTTGACGACATCAGCTAACAAGTATTCACGAAGTAGTACAAAACGCTGTTTGCTTGTGATTTCCGTTTATGCTCCCACCAACTGCAGTCCTAATGCCGTCAAGGACACATTATATCACGAACTGAACGCGCTATTACGAAGTGCTACTAGTTCAGATATTATAGTACTTGCAGGGGATATGAACACACAAGTAGGGCATCTGAGTTCTTCAGAAGCTCAGCTGGGTGGTAATTATGGGCTTAACTCCGAACGGACTGACAACGGTGAGCGTCTGCTGCAACTGTGTGCGGAGCCCCAGTTGTTTCTCACTAGCACTGCTTTTAGACACAGTGGGCGTCGAAGTGCCACTTGGCGTCCTTCTGTAACTGACCAGCGATGGACCCAAATTGACCACATAACCATAAGTTAGAGGTGGCGTGGTTCCATCCTGAATTGGTGGACGGAGCCAAAACGGAAGGAGCCAAATCTCACTCCCCATAGAGTAGGATGGCCCTCACTGTGGTCTTGTATCTACGGCCCTTTCTGTCGCTAAATATGTCGCAGTTTCAAGAAAGCAGTTCTGACTTTTGCAATGTGTGAACAGACTTCAGTTTCAATGCGTCCATCATTACTGATGCAGCTGCTTAGGTGTAAATACCAAACTTATAAATACTTTTGCGCGACACACATCGGTGCGTGCCACTTACAGCAGTTGCGATTGGAACGTGGAGGCCCGCTCTTCATTAAACTCCGTATGGTTTTCTACCGGGTGACCCCTGTGATGCTGGCTGAAACCGGGGGCGAGGAGAATCGTCTACCTTAGTGCGGTTAATCAGGTGATGGATCGAGTGGACGATTTTAAACGCCTAGCTAATTGTACAGAAGCTCAGCGTTGTAGCTAGAACGCTAGTGTGTTGAGCCGGTGTGAGTTCTTTTCCTTGACGCGGCTGTAATAACCAGGCACTCAACGTGGTGATAGAGGAAAACAAATACCGGCATCGCCTTTACTTTTGTTGGCAGTCGTTTGTTACGATACCGACTCCATTACAAATGACGGAGTGTTCGCTGCCCGAAAACTGGCGCCTGTGGAGAGCGAAGTGGATGAACTTCGCGACACTAATCGAGCTGGATGCATATCCTATGCTTTATCAGTTAGACATGTTCAGGTACGTCATCGGTCATGATGCGAGGCGGATACTAGACACCTGAAATTTCTGCGATCACGACCAAGAACCGAATCCTCTGGAAACACTCGAGATATTGTTGATTATTGTGAAGGCCTGTTAAGCCATTTCGCCCCTTGCTCTCGATCGACCTACGTTAGATCATTTGTAAGTGTTAATCAGCAAGACGCGCGAGAGATTTTAGTAAATAACAAGTGAGATCATGATGAGGAGTGATGCGCTAATGCAAAACTGGCGGTTCAAGGACAACCAGTTCAACCGCAAACTGATACTGGAGTCAACGTACATTTGCATCTCGAAACAATTTCCACTAATCGTCTACAAGACCGTCTTTAAAAACGTTCACGGCGGTGAAAAACGCGTCACAAACACCAACCCAGACAACCTCATACTCTAGCTCTTGGAGATGAGTTATGGTTTAAACAGATACCTTGGGTTGAAGGGTTTCGGAAGAGAAAAACAGCTAAGGGTCGGAATGGAAAGGGAAACTGTCGCATGCAGCTGAAAAGTCGATGCGGTGAATAGATGCTGCACTCGGACGAGAAACCGCCTCAACAGAATAAGACCACTAAGATCGCTGTCCAGGTTCGAATTTTCTGCCACAGTGGAGGGTGATACAGAATCTGCAACACCAAAACAACAAAAAAGGAAAAGGATGTGTTGGTGGCTGAAAGTTGCGGCGAAGGGAATCGCCTGCCTCAATGTGGTCGATCAGGCGATCGATCTAGTGGGCGGGTGAGTTTTTAAAACCACAGCTAGTTGTGCATTACGACTTGTGAATAGAACGCTTGTGTGCCGAGCCAGTGTGAGTTCTTTCTCTTGACGCGGCTGGGAGAACCAGTCACGCAACAACCTTATCGATTCTCTTCATTTTTTGACACAGATTACCCTGGTGACCTTGTTTGAGCCGGATGACTCGCGACCGGTTCATTTGGTCAAACAAACTTTCTCTCACCCCGATGGGGAAGTAATCGGGCTCACTGCCATTGCTGCGCAACCCAATTGGTTCGTGTCGACCTATTCTACCTGTGAGTCACCGTTATTTGTATAGTGCCATGTTCATTGCTTCCTTTCATCAGGTGGGCATTTCCTCGCCACATTGCTTGCCTTCAAGTCTTCATGCACCTCAACTGTAGCTCTCGATTTGGACTATTACAAGTCATCAAGCGACGTAATGAAAACGCTCGTTCCATTTGACCCTCTGGATTCATTTCGTTACCTTTGTTTCCGTTGCCGTTTCGAGCAACTGGCATTATCTGGCAGCAATCGGTGGCAATCGTCTTCGACATATAGCTACACAAGCGTTTGATCAGCTCCATACTTGCAAACTACCCAACACGGCTGTCTTCCTTGATTGGAGTGGTGTAGGTGTCGGTTCGTCTGCGGGCTACCTTTCAATATCACCAGTCCACACGCGACTTCCGGTGGTCGCGTGGCAACGAAGCGTCGTCGCGGCGCACCCAACGTACTGGTGGTGTCCTCGATTGAATTTTTTGCGCCTTTTGTGCCATCCCTTAACACCGACAGCTGTGCCATATAGATTTATTCCTATTAATTAACTATTAGGTGATATTTTGCCAAGAGTTACGCATCCATTCTGACAAGTAGGATGCAGAAGGACTATTTTACTTCTCTTTTCCACTATCAGCTTGTGGCCGAGTGGTCTGCACGCCTGGCTTACACTGATAAGGTCACTGGTCCCAATTCCGCGTAGTGGCAGGTGTCCTCGCGGTTTACTCAGCACACGCGCGACCGGTGGTGGTCGCGCGGCAACGAAGCGTCGGCACAGTGCGCCGACGCACTACTGATGACTTTTGTAACTTTCGATCGAAACCTTCCTGAATTCTAGCTGCTTTCTCGTGCGCAGAAGAGCATACGGCCTTGGGACTAAATGGCTTTCTAAGGCCAATTGTTATAGACTGCTCTTGCGGTCGGTTTAAACTCCTGTGTATACGCTTCTGCTTAGACAAAATCAATACCACTTTCTCTTCGGTTTGCGCTTCTCACCACCAGGACTGAATGGGCACTCCACTAATTCTCACTGCCTTGTGAAGTCACGGAACTGGTTGATCGGTTCACTTGCGGATGTCACCAGGTCTTCCCTTATTGCCACATCACCGGGGCCAGCTGACTACTTTCTCTGATACTAAAAGCACGTTTGATTCATTGGATCGTTCCGTCCTGTTCCAAATGGGTACCTGTAACACTCTCCTCTTAAACTACATGCACTCCTAGGTCTCCTGTATTTGGGCACTCAACAGCAAGCACTGTTTTCCAGGATCGTCCAACTTCCTGCCTTCTGTTTATTGCTCTACTAGACTCCATCCTAGTATGTCCCTTAGTCGCATCTCTATCTTCATCTGTTGTGATTCTATATGGTTTAATGGCGATTGATCTGCATTGCACAGACATCGTCTTGTTTACCAATCTCTGCGCACCGTCTTTAACCTTAATTTCGCTACTCTGGATGGTTTCACTCTTTGTCAGGTCTGATAGTGCCTGAGGCTTTCCCCTGCTTTACTCTAGGTGTGGAATAATGACGATGGCTCGACACTTGCTTTACGCCCACTCATTTCGGACCACCAGTCCGTTTGCGAGCTTTTTGATTCCTATTTACGTGGTGCTAGACGTCGCCGACCACCGCACTCATCCTGTCAGCCGAACTAATGGTGATTTTTCCACGATTATTCGACTTCACCCTCCTATCGCAATACGCATGGTTGCATTTGCCTCCGTACGACCTCCTTTACCCCGGAAATAAATCTTTTTTGGTCTCAACATCATGTTTACCTAACCCTGCTTCCTCTGCTATTCGGTGACACTTTACCGATTCAACATGGAGACCTCAAACATCTTCAACCTTTTGGTTAACAAGACGTTAACGTTTTGCGTACCTCGTCGACCCATTGAGCTATACTGGGTGGTGCTCTTGGGCCCCTCTGGATCTACTTCTCCCAGGTCGGTTATTGGTTAGAGGTCAAACGAACTCAGTCTGCTGGTCCTCGAGGTTGTGGGTTTGAAATGGGGTGGCATTCAACGTTCGTACTCCGAGATAAATAGGTCAACAGGCTACACTCGCACGTACATTAGACCCTGGGTTGTTGAATCCACTGCGCCTTGTTTATCCTCTCGCTATTGGTCGCACGCATCCGGAGACGCTGCTGCGACAGCCTCTGGTCAAGCTAGAGTGGGCATTGTACTCGACTCTAAGGCTGCATCATCGTTGGTTCATTGGATTCCCGAGAATAGCCATCTGTGTGCAGTCTGTTTGACGACATCAACTAGAGTTGATGCAGTGAATAGCACTACATGCTGTTTGCTTGTGGTTTCCGCTTATGCTCCCTCTGATTGCAACTCCGATGCTGCGAAGGAGGTTTTCTACCACGAATTGAACTCGCTACTACGCAATGTTACCAGTTCAGATATCATAGTTCTTGCAGGGGATATGACTGCGCAAGTAGGTCGTCTGAGCTCCTTCAGTAGCTTTGTTAGGTCGTAGGTATGGACTTGACTCCGAAGGGACGGACATCGTCGAGCGTCTGTTACAACTGTGCGCGGAGCACCGCTTTTCTTAGTGCACCGTTCTTAGACACAGTGGGCGCCGAAATGCCACGTGGCGTCCTCCTGTAGCTTACCAACGATGAACCCAAGTTGTTCACATTGCTAGAAGTTACTGGTGACGTGATTTCTTAATGGATTGCCGTTCTTTGTGGAGTACTTGCGTCGACTCTGATTATGCGTTGGTACGCTGTCGTTTCTCCATGACCATTACATGGAGGAGTACCAAACACCTCCCTCGATTGGCAACTGGGAACCTATTTCAGCCCTCTGTCAAGTAAGCCTACCAGGATGTCCTGCGTACAGAACTTTCGCTCTGTTGTCCTAATGACGCCGAGCTTCACTGGAATATGCCGCCTTGCAACATGCAGTAGCCTCCGCTTGCGGCACTATCAATCTTCATCGTACCACTCATTTAGATATCAGAGAGGTCGGTGAACCTATTGTAATCTAGATGAAAACTCCCGGCTGGCTCTGAGCACAATGTTACTAGACGGACTAGTAGGAGCGAACTAAAACAGTCTGCGTGCTGATAAGGAAGGCTGGTGGACCAGTATTGCTCAAGAAATGGAGGAGGCAGGAGCAATAGGGTACTATCGCAAGCTCTTCTATCTGATCCGCATCACTGGTCCCAGGAAACCAGGAGTCAACGGGACAAGCAGGGATAGCGCCGTTACTTTAATTCACCATAAAGAGCGCCGTATGGCTCATTGGGCAGAGCACTTTCGAGAGCAATTCAGTTGTCCTCCTGCTTCTGGACCTCTTCCTACTCAGGTATTGCAGGCTGAGCCATGCACAGTTATTTTAGATGTTCGTCCGAAGTTGAGGTCCGAAACGTGATCACAAGCCTCAATCGTTTTCGTGCTGCTGGTCCAGATTCTCTCCCACCTGCACTACTTAAAGTTAGAGGTAAAATCCTCTGCAAAGCACTGACCTCCCTGTTCGAATCTGTCTGGAAGAGGCAGTTCCGACTAACTGGAGCGATTCGATTATAGTGGCCATCTACAAGATGGACAGTCGTATCGACTGTGCTAACTACAGCGGTATTAACCAAACGCCAGTTGTGACAAAATTACTCGTTTCTCACCACACTGTGGAACGGGAATCTCGGATTAGGGAAGAGCAGGCAGGTTTCCGTCTTGGGCGCGACTGTATGGACCACATATTCCCTCTGCAACATGTGCTAGAGCAACGCTACGCATATCAAAGGCCGACAATAACTATGTTCCTCGATTTCGACAGTGCGTTCGGTTCAGTCCATCGATGCATTCTGTTCGAATTTCTTGCGCGGAAAGGTGTTCCCATGAAATATGTGAACATTTTACGTGTTCCATACTCCAACACGACAGGCCGCGTCAGGATCTACGGTGACTTATCGGATATCTTCCGGACAACAAGTGACAATCGTCAAGGTTGTCCAATTTTTCCATTTGTTCCTCATGGAGTGTTCCCTCGCGGGACCTTACGATGCAGGCGTTGAAGTGCTGCCTGTTGAAAAGTTATTTGCTTTTGATTATTGGATGATATCGTCTTGCATTTTAACGATGTTGGGATGGTACAACCAACCATGTATAACCTCTTTAAAGTGATCCTATTACCTGCTATGCGCTTTGCACCTTCTAAATGCAGTGTCGCTGCAGAACCACCAGCCACTTGATGACCCCTTGGCCCTTGATGGCGAGGAACTTGAACTACTTGACCAATTCATTTATCTGGGTAGTTGCATCAGCAACAATGGGCGCATAGCAACTGAAGTCAGTTCACGCATTGCAAAATCCAGAACTGTCTGTTTGAATTTGCGACATATTTGGCGACAGAAAGTTGTTTCTCTCTGTCTGTAAGGCCGCGTATACAAGTCCACAGTGGGGGTTGTCCTACTCTACGGGGAGTGAGACTTGGCCCCTTCATTGTTGCCTGTGAAGCATTACTGGTGTCCGATAGCACCAGCGCATCTGCAACGATTATGTGCGTAGGCGACTGTTATTCAACGATAACCAAGCCAATTCCGCAGAACGCCTGATAGCACTGAATAAGGTGCGTTGTCTTGAGTACATACTACGTATGGCTGGTCACCGCTTACCGAGATGGACCTTGTTTTGTCTGCTAGACACAAGTTGACTTGGCAACAGGAAATGAAGTCACTGACGACCCAACTCGGTGCTGTCAGTCCGTCTGGTCTTCCAAGCTGGAATCCACATGACTCGCCTTGTGCTTGGCTCGAGACTTTACAGGACATGACCTGCAGTCGACACCAGTGGCGTGTCTGCTGCCCCCTCCTACTTGTAGTGCCTGTTTAAAGTGTGTTTGGTGTTTAGTTATTTGCAGAGTACTGGGTGATTATGACGCGGGTCAGTGAAAGCGTCAATGAAGGTGTCTCGCCAATCCCGCTTTACCTTTGCACGATAGCCAGCTGTTTGTGATGGTATGTTGCTGACACAGGGTGTAGGCACCCCTGACCCTGAATATTTGCTTAGGAGATTAAGCTTGTACGTTCGGTCCCCTTTCCCGACCTCTTGTGATTCTTTATTCCGTAGGTCGTTGTGAGGCATCAGTTCATATAGCTGATATACTGTTGTTGTTGTCTTTGTTTATAATGAAGATGATGGTGGTGGTGGTGGTTATCTTTTAGTTGAACCAGCTGCTTAATATGTGTGCAGTGCCGTGGATCAAGATTTACGTTCAGTCTTTAGTGAAAGGCGCGAATAAATGACCTGGCTGGCACCATCACATCTCCATACTATGGCTTACCTTTTGTTACTGTACGTTGACCCTAGTTATTTGCTCAATGCTTTTAGGTTGTGTGGTAGTTCTACCTTTAACCGCTTTCCTTTAAACCGCTTTGTATTGGTCTGTAGATGTATAACATCTAAACACCGCCAAAACATATTGATGTACCGTTGTTTTTTGACTATGATATCAGCAAGCCATCATATTTCAGGCCTTTCACTGGACCTCAACATTGCTGAGGGAACTGCTGAAATACTGTGAAGCTGTCACCTTTTAAAGCTTCGGTGGTTGTGCCGATCACGTACCGTCGATGAGAACAAGTATACCCAAGGCCTTAAACATATACTTTCTGCAAGCCGCTGTCGCTGGGAAAGTTATACGTTTTGATCCGTCTGCGCATTTAAGTACTATGTTCTGTTGGGTCCGACGACCACAGCTAGATCCACTGGCATTAGTTTCGCGGCTTGACTGGGCAACCTTCCATGTCAACCAGCTCAGGTCGTTGAAGCAATTTGCCGGAAGGACGTTATCTTCCCGGATGGGCGCATCGGGACCGGCACAATCCCGACGCTATTGGCTCACTTACCTTCGTCACCACATCTCTAATTCTTAACTAAGCCACCTGATGATTTCAAATTGTGTTCCTCCCTCTAGAATTATTGTGCTTCCTAACAAGTAGGAGGATTTTTGGTGAAAATTTCGTCCTAGCAGCCTGCAAGCCAGACAGTCTGATCATCAATCCAGCGATGCATCAAGCTGTCGTGGTTTCTGGAACGAATCATTAAGACATTATGGTTATATCGGCCTTTAAGAACCAAGGCAGCTGTATCGTCCGCGCTTCTGTGCACCAAACGTAGTTGTTCATCTGGTACTATTCCGTGAGTTCCAGTACGCGTACCACTTTTGTTTTTGCGACGGCGAAACACTGCTGTGGGATATTGGTTTATTATTGTCATCAATTGAAGCTTACCAATTGGACCTCACACTGGCGTGTGTTCTGCGCTTAAGTCAATTATATACGATAAACTATTGATGCTGTTTCTCTATGGATGAACTGGTAACGAAGTTCATGAGTCAAACGTTCACTTCGGACCTTTACCCGGTAAGGAATTCGCGACAATGGGGGTGATGTCGGTTGAAAACTCAGACAGCCGGAACAGCTGTGTAGACGTCTAACATATGATCATAAAAGACTGCCCGTTCGCTTTTCAGCAGGACGAACTATGGAGAGTATTGCCGTCGCTTTGTTTGGTATTGATTCTCTTCGGTTTGGTTCACGCGCAGTTTCACTGTAACCAATGTTGGGAATTCATTGTTTGGTCTTCACTGTCGATCCATAATATATTTTAGCTCACTGTCAAACAGGCTTACCAGTATACACTACGCACTCAGTTTTTATCTTCCTACTTTGTGAACCTCGGGTTTCAGTGCGATGGGCCTTCTGCTGCTGCCCATGATGTTGGAACCTCCATTTGCTACACTTTTCTTCGTCAGCATGTTCCGACATCGGATATCCGAATGGGTGTTCCGCTTACTCTGAAGTGCTGACAAAGAATACTCACTGACACCTGGCGCACAATGACCAGGTACCAGTTTTAAACGTAACCCACTCGTTGACAGGGGAACCTAGTGTCTCAGGGATACCATGAGATGGAGGCGACCTTAGTGGTAACTACCTTCCCACCATCTTCCTGAACTTGTGTTTTGAACATTACCCGTCGTCGGTTCTTTGAGCTAATGAGCGATTCTCACTTTTACCAGTTAAAGTTTAGCCAGAATCCATTAGAGTATCCTGTCCCATCCATTCTAAGATAGCAACTGTGAACGAGATTTAAGTGGGATAACCTGAATTCAGAATATTTCATGTCTTCTCAGTGAGCCGCGTACCGACAAAAAATGGTTGGATTAAATAAAGGCAAATGCAAGTGGTCAATAGGGGAATCAATAGAACACCTAGGAATGCAAGTTTATCAACTGTAACAATAAGAAGCACGCCTTCTCAGAGCAAGGCGAGGTTGGCCACGTAGTCGAATTATTTGCAGAACTTCGGCTTCAACCGCCAGATAGTGGAAGCCTCAGTAAATCGAAGCAAACTCAGAGTATTCTGCCTTTTGATAACCTTGAATGCGTTTTCACACGGTGCGATCAAATAGATGCTGGGCGTTCGAGCTGGCCGGAAACTTAGGGCCACTATCTGTCAAGTTTGGTGAAACGTGTTCCATGATCCTATTTGATAGCTTTCTCTCGGTGCATTGGTAAACACCTGCGGCGGTAACCTAAGAGTGGTCTGTCGAAGTTGGATTCGTGGAGTAATTTCTTGGTCTGATGTAACCAAACGAGCTCAGCTGCGTAATAGCATCTCTTAATGGTTTGACGTAATTAGTGGCAGAATCTTCTGTCGTTCTGTTCTCCTTTGTATGGTAGCGTAATGCATGCCATTTTCTTTCCTTTCTAGCAACCTCTTTCCCATACCTGGCGATACATTAACTAGAATAGCTATTATTACATAAAGTGGATGCGATGCATTGTAATCCTTTCCGGATTGATTTTCCCGTACAACTTCACTGAACTCGTACTTTGATTGTTGTGCTGGTTTTCAAATATCGCGTTTCGTATTATCCGCCGACTGCTATTATCTCTTGCGTCACACTCAGATCTTGTTTGTTACATCTGAGTATCTTGTCCATACTGCCTACGGTTAGTTAAATGAGCGTCGGAAGTCATAGAGTGAATGACTTCTGTGGAATTACCGACTGGAAAGTATTCGTGTCGATCTTTATGGTGTTCACCGTTTCGTCCTTAACGCTTGCACTCAATTTATTTCTTAATCAAATACTCGTGTCATTTATCTACCTTATTGGTTGACTTTTTTGATTCCCTGTCGTCTTTTTGAGTTGCTTCCCTATTCTCAGTCTTATTCTGATGTTGGCGTACCGATCATCCGCACTTGGCGCAGTTACTCCGCTCATGTTAGAACTGTCATTACATCACAACATAAGCCGCTTATTCTCCTTCATATTTCCTTGACGTAGCAAATCATTTTTCGTTGGTTGTTGCTCACATCTTCAGACTCTACCGAGCGTCCGGAACTCCGAACTGGTGCACGTATCTGGCGCTTGCCCGGACTTACTGACGACGGGAATCCATCCGACCACGAGACATTCGTTGAGCTAACCGAGTCCCCATCCAACGGCTTAGAATATGTGACGACGTTACCTCTTGACAAATATTCCGGAATTCGAAAGTAAGTCAGCGTTCTACCTTACGTCCCTCCGTTTGCCGTTCACTCACACGTGGAATGGATTCTAAAATTTTCTCCCCCCCCCCCCACACACACAAGTCAAGAAATTGCTTTATGCATCCTTGGCGTACGAATATTTAGCTACAACATACATGATCTAGCGATGAACAAAAATACAAATCAATTACAACACAGTACCATAAAACCGGTTTGATTAGCAAGGTACAAGGATGCTGTCATACTTCGAACCGGCTGGTTAGGTTTAGTGCAGTATAGTTGGGGTCTCCCAGAAAATGCGAACGTTAAGAGATGACCGACGAGCGGTAGGCTTATGTGCGAGCATATATCAACGTGTATTCCTGCCTAGTATACGAAGCAGACACAAGCATTATGAAGGGGGTACCTTGTCTCGGCCAGTATCTTGGATATTAATTTCGTACAATACTTGGTATGTGTAGACAGAAGTGTATTTCCAATAGTAGGCATTGGAACGCCAGTACATTGGGATAAATGTCTTAATGACCTTATCCAGAAGACCGACTTCTAGCTGATCACCACCAAGAATCAGCGCAGCTGTAAGTCTCTGCTAATCCTTGAGAAGAACTTTGCACTTCTAAGGTGCAAAGCATAACCCGAGGCCATTGACAGCCAGTGCTGCTTGCACGTTTGCGAGGTGTTCCCAGATTCAGGCAACGTCGTCGGCGTTTTTCAAGTCACAAAGTCGCTCACAAGGAAGAAGCTCCACAGCGTAAAGGTCGTGCCCAGTGAACACATTTTCCATGAATTCTTCGATGGCGGTTAGAGAAGAAAGGTGATGGCAGGCAACCTTGTCTCACCGCTAGCGATTTTGAACGGCGGTGGCCGTTTGCGACAAACCCACACCCTGCCCTAATTTCTCGAGTGTAGCACATTTGTGATAAGTACAGATTTATCGGGCACACCTTTCTTGAGTAGAGCCGGCTCGTAGCCTAGAGGTAACGAGTTTGTCTCGTAATCTTGCGGCGCGGGTTCTAACATGCATAGTGGCAGGGCGACCCTTGCAGTATCCTACCGCATGTGCAGCCAGTGGTGGTTGCGCGGCAGCGAAGCTTCGGTACTGCGTACCAGCGTACTGCTGATACCTACCCATCTTCCTGAGTAGACAGTCCCAGTGGCGCATCAATTCATCAAATAGGATCGAATGGGAAGAGCGCGACTACCGTGGGTCTCTAATCAATACAGCGGTGTTCCAACAATTGTCGTAAAGTGAATATTTGGTCAGCACAGCCACGATTTCGACGAAGTCCGGCTTGCCGCTCGTGTATCTGGGTTTCTCGGGTGCCGGTTATTCCATGGAGGACGACAGATGCAAGTAATTTAGGTGCAATTGAAATCAGCCTGATCCCTGTATGAATGTCGCATTCCGAACCTGAGGATCCTTTGAAAATTGGGACTATAATGGAGCGTCTCCAGCCTGTTGGGACAGTTCCTTGCTCCCACAGCTTCACTAGTAAGTTGTGCAAATCATCCACGAGAGCTGACCCCCCGAATTCGAAGAGGGAGCTGGATGAAGTTCATCTGCTTCCGTCTCATTGTCAATTTCAGCCATCTGATCTCACATTCGACTTCTGCGCATGAGGCTGGGTCTACGGAGACGGACCATGAAGATGGGTATTACTAGCCGATGGAAATGGCAACTCTGAATGATTGAAGTGCTTCTCAAAGTGTTAGGCCTAACACTCCAAGCGTTTTGACAAGTGGATATACAGTCGACTCTCGTCTGGCTAACACCAGGTCTTTTGCTGTCCTTTTTCCATATCAGATGGAATAATTTTTGAAGATTAAAAACGGCAACAGCCATTTCTATCTGCGATGCATGATGAGATCATCAGATTTCGCGGTCTTTCTTCAGGCTAGCACGTAATTTTGTCCCAGGATTTTCACGGGTCTCATTGTCTTCGTTTCCAGTCGAAATAAGTTGGCGAGGATCTAGTTGTTCAAAAACCTGGTATCAAGCACTGCGTTACACGTGATCTATTTTTTGGTGAAAAGAACCAGCCCTACTCCAACCCTCAATCTTCAGGCCCAGGAGGCTGAATTGTTCTCACCGTTGATCAATCTGGTATGAGTGTATGTGAAGGTGTAAGACACACCACTGGCATAGCTAAATTGATCGTGAACGCACCGAAATCATCGCACCACATTAAGGTCCAATCTGGTTTTGATGGTCCTGCTTGCACACAGGTGGTCAATACGATAAGTGAAAAATCCGCCGGTTTCCGCGACTGCACCTTCAATCTCATTGGGTAGCCAGATTTCTTATGTCATACTGACATCTGCTTGTTAATTCTCATGACCATCTGTTACACTTTTGAGATATTCTAATTTTCCAAGTAGCGCTCGGATACTGACACTGAGTAAACTAGACGCCCATACTTCCGTGATCTTCTCTCCGCAGTGTAACCCTCCATCATGCAGGGTGTTTTTATGTTTTTTTTCAGATTCGTTTTATTTTTCGGATAGGTTGGCTAGACACTCAAAAGTTTTAAAGTAACTCGCATATAAACGATTATATTACTAGTCACAGAACAAATTATTGAAATGTTAAAATAAACGTATTGCAATGTATATTTCCGTGCTTGTAAAACCGTTGGGCAGGAATTATGAAGTACGCCAAATTTGAAGGCCCCGCTACATGTATCTTTTCTTCTGTAATGATGGATTTGTCTGCAACCCTACGTTTTTCCACTGTTTGCCATGTTTGCCCGTTATCTCGATGGCCTGAGTCAATTGATGATTAGATTCATCCACATCCCGATCCCGTGATCCCTAGTAAACCAGCTGCATTGAATCGAACACTCTAACACTCGCCACTTTTACTTTGTCGTATTACATTTTACCCATGTGTCTCGACTAATCACAGTACGTACTTCACCGCTCTGCTCTTCCCTTGGCTAGAATCGTGGCGCATCCATCCGGGAAATGTGCAGATCTGGCTTGCATTGTGGGCCCACCCACGGACTCCATTGAGTGAGCTCCTGTGGACTTTTGTTAGTTTGCATAGTTGTATACTTGACCAAATGAGGCTACCTTGAAGCTCCCTCGTCACATGCTCAGCTGCATTTTAAGTCTCTGGTTTTCCAACTGTCTCACGTACGTGCTTCAAACATTGCTCACGCTTGTGTCTTCGGAACAGTGCAGCTTTTCCTCACCTTAGTTGTGTGATAGGATATAGATATTTGAATCAATTCAAGCTTGGTTTAGACACTCCAGAATGCCTGTTTGATATGAGACATTTGCGCAATCAACCGTGCGCATGCGTATAGTCCCCTAGTTCTTATTCGACCCTTCCATCCGATGATGTAGAGCATTTTGACCCTTGTTCTAGAACCGAGTTTTCCTTTTTCTTGGTATTCTCTTTAATTCTTATGTATGATCATGGTGACAAATCAGGGCACCTGAATTCCACGTACTTCGGTGCTCGGTCATTATGTACTATTCTGGGCTGAACGGAACGGAGGGATCAGTGCATTTCGCCCATGCCTCAGGTCATGGATAAGTATTCTCCTTCGGCCGGATCACAACAACATCAATAAGAACATTCGTCCAAGTCAAGTCAAGAAGTTGCTTCGTGCCCCATAGCGGGTGAATATGGTTGGCGGCATCCGATTTCGGATTTGCCTGTCACTGTGGTCAGCCACAGGACGCCTGCGCCTACAGAGGGACCATGGATGGCTTGAGCTGCACCACACACAGGTCCATCCACACACTCCATATCCAGTGTAAACCCGAAGAAATAAGACCGGGAGGCATGTGGATGGGAGCTACGTTTCATCAACGGAGCCGGCCCACACTCCTTCACAGGCAAACACAAGCACGCTGTATTTGGAAAATCAAGCGCACACAAGGCGGTGGCTTGACCGTAGTCTGCTCCACACTGATTATCAATACGCAGAACAAAAATAAAATAAAATGTAATGAAGTTTATCCACATAAAAAGACCTAGTTTAAGTGTAAGTTGGTTTAGCCCAACTGCGGTGAAGAAGCATCATGAATGCGACATCAGCCTCAACATGGGGTGAATATGGTTGGTGGCATCCGGTTTCGGATCTGCCTGTCACTGTGACCAGCCACAGGACGCCTGCGCCTACAGAGGGACCATGGATGGCTTGCGCTGCACCACCCACAGCTCCATCCACACACCACATATCCAGTGTAAACCCGAGGGAATAAGACCGGGAGGCATGTGGATGGGAGCTACGTTTCATCAACGGAGCCGGCCCACACTCATTCACAGGCAAACACAAGCACGCTGTATTTAGGGAATCAAGCGCACACAAGGCGGTGGCTGGACCGTAGTCTGCTCCACACTGAGTGCATGGAACCACTCTTCGAGCCTAGCATGGCCACAAGGACCGTGCACCCCGTCCCCTCCAACAACGACCAACTGTCTCCTGGAGCCACATGGACGAGGTAGTGGTTAATAGACAGGTAGGCACCTTGTCAACATGCACATCAAGCGCAGTCACATCTTGGATGTCAAACAACAGGCAGTCATTCGAAATGCCCATACCGAATAAAGTAAACGCATATGACGACATAAATACTCGCTAAATGAGCATATGGAAGCAATTGGTTAAATGTGAATACGCGATAAGTACAAAATGTCCGAAAGTCATTTAAAAAATACCACGCGATAAAATTACGCAAGTTTACCACAATTTGCATGAGCGACGTGTGTAAGTTGGGAGAAGATTATCAAGTAGGCAGAACAAAAATAAAATAAAATGTAATGAATTTTATTCACATTAAAAAGACCTAGTTTACGTGTAAGTTGGTTTAGCCCAACTGCGGTGAAGAAGCATCATGAATGCGACATCAGCCTCAGCATGGGGCAGTGGGTGAATATACAGCTGTAACAACGCACACTGCGTCGATATTGTACCGAAAGGAAAACGAACTACGAAACAGTACCATAAAAAACAGATTGATAAAAGATAGAACGAGATCATATTGCTAATCGGCTTGTTACTTATTGAGCGACATAGTTTTGCTTCAATGCGAATCGCGATAGATGAATGATAACCGACGAACGGTAAACTTGTGTGAGGGTTTACGTCAACTTGTACTACTACCTCGTGAACAAACTTGACCCATTCAGATAGTGATCTCGGAAGTAAGTGGCTTGCGTCGGTAACTACCTTGGATGCCAGTATTTTACGAGAACTTATGTAATTGCAGGGCCGTAGCCTTAAGAATCACAAGCCTGCCTTGTAATCCAAGGGCGCGGGTTCGAGCCTGCGCACAGGGACTGGACTACCCTTGCAGTATCCTTTGCCCATGTGTGATTGGTGATGGTTGCCTGGAAGCGAAGCGTCGGTGCTGTGTCCCGGCGTGCTGCTGAGGCCTTTTGAGAACTGATGTGTGTGTGCCTGAACCAAAGCCTGCGAATGCCGCTAACTCGGCATGATTGTCATAGCCGGAAGATCAGCAAAAATCACTGAAGGGTAGGACGTTCATTTGGGAAGGACACAAGCATTGACGTAAGGAAGCATCAAATCACGAGGGACAGAGCAGGTTTTCGGCGGAAAAGCATAGTGCGACAACATTCTAACTTTTTTAAATGTTTCGTTTACATAAAATGTCCGGGGTAAATCGTAGTTCAGTATGACACCAAGATACTTCACTAATGCAGGGTGCAATCCTTCACCGTCAATATGGGGCTTAGAACACAGGGTGAGGAGCTGATCGTACTGAGCTCATCGACGCAGCGAAAAAAGCGCATCATAATACTTTGATGCATTAGGGGACAGATTATGAGCTTTGGACCGCATGGTACGATCGTTCAACTCCTGCGTGCAAACATTCCACTTCACAAATTTCAGTATATCAGAGAGAAGCCACCTTTACACAGGATGTACTGGCTTCAGTTATTTCACGTTTTATTCTCAGCTGTTTACGTGCAATTTGTTGTAGGAGCAGGTTGCATATGTCAGTGACCATCAACGTGTGTGTTATCGGTGAAATTTAAAGTGGTTGATAACCACTGAGTTCACATGACTCAGATCAGGGGAGAATAACGATCATTAGCCTCATCAGGGTAGAGCGAGATTTGTCACAAAATCAGGTCAGATCTTGTTTACCTGTCCTGCTATTCCCTTATTTCTACTACGATTCTTGGAAGCTGTTTTCGGGTTCTCCTCGGTTAATTGCCCCATATTCTCTTTCCTTTTCAACTTCATGATCGAAATGATCTTGGTGATGACACACAGAGCACAATGCGTTCTAAACCGCTTGGCGATGGAAGCATCAAAATATGGAATGACCTTTGCCCCTACGAAATGCCTGGTTCTGGATTGGCACCCACCTGCTCCAGTGCTCACACTTCAAGGTACGCAGCTTGAACAAGTGGACAACTTTGTTTACCTGGGAAGCTGTATCTCTGCTGATGATAGCATTGGAAAAGAGATTTGCCTCCGCATTGCCAAAGCCCATTTGGTATTCGTTTACTTGAGGCATCTGTGGCGACGCCACAACGTTTCACTATTAGTAAAGAGCAGGGTCTACAATGCCTGTGTTCGCGCAGGGCTGCTGTATGGGAGTGAGTCCCGGCCGATTCGTCGGATTTCGGCCTTTGTCAATGGATGTCTACGGAGAATAGCTCGAGTGTGATGGATGTACCACGTACGGGATTTCCACTTGACAGATTGGTACCACTGCGCCAACTGAGGTGGCTGGGCTACGTTGTACGCATGCCATGCGAACGGCTGTCACCACGCGCTCTCTTCCCTCTCATAGGACCAGGCTGGAAGAAATCGCACAGCTACCAGCCTATAACGTGGCGACAAACGATTAAAGCGCTGACTTCCAGTTTGACTGTCGTAGGTCCCGTGCGTCTTCCTGGTTGAAGATCAAAGATGAAGAACACCACTGGCTGGAAGCTCTTTCGGAGATGGCACAGAACCGGGCTTAATGGAAAATGTGTACAAATGTTTGTCTTGACTTCCTTGATTTACATTGCAAACATTAAACAGACAATGCTGAAACGGCGTGTGAAAAAATAACAAAAAAGACAAGCCAAAAATGCTTTTTTGCAACTTTCATTTTTCATTGTGGTCTCTGTATTTATTACTTTCGTTTCATGGTTTTCGCTGGCTCTTTGTCTATAATATAGACTAATAATAATAATAATCTTGACTGATTCTCCAATCCGTCGCGTATTTAAGTATCTGCTTCGCAGCCGGATGGCAACCTTGGGTTCACGGACAACGTAGCTCTTTTTGCATCGAACCCCTCCTCCATCTGATCACCTTTGGATAAACTATAGCAGTGTTGCACACTTCGGCATGTGCTTCGCACTCTCATCTTGTAACCTATTACTGCAAGAAGTGGTTGATACGCCACCAGTTTCATCACCACCGAATAGCCACTTGAAGTGTTTGCTCGGTTCATTTGCCTTAGCGGTTTTGCCACATCTACTCGCCACATTACTGTGGAAATTACTGCGCACCTCAACAAGATCCTGTTACTTTTCAAAGTCCACTTCCGGGGCTTCAACTTGTCTTTCCGAAATATTTTGTACTTTGCTGCGTTAAGGTCATTGCTGGCTGAATGGATTACGGCCACGCCGCATTAAAACCATTCATAAACTACGCATCTTCAACCACCGATATATTGTGTTTGCCTCATGTTAGAAATAAAGAAGTCAGCATATGTTGCTATTTGAAAAGTGCTCCCGTGGCGCCGCGCTGAGATGTTTGTTTGCTTGAAACCGCTTCCGTCCTGCCCTTCGTACACTGACTGATTTCCCACCTGGACTGGTGCTATTTTGGACATCGCGCTGCATTGGGTGAATCCTCATTTATGCTAGTTGTTCACGTGCGTAAAAGTCATAAAGAAGCTAACTTGATAGGTTTGCTGCATGCCATTTCACGGAGGTCAGTCACATGAGTGTTTAGATGCCTCATCTAGCTTGACACTAGTGACTCACTAGTGGTTCACTTGCACCGGGTCTCTTTGTAACTAGGTGTTGTC